TGGAGCATGAAGTAGGAGAAAGTCTTCAATCAATTAGAAACTGTCTGGTGCTATATTTCCCAAAATGTTCTCTCTCACTCGCTCTCTTTTTTTCCCCCCTGGGGCAACTCAGTACTAGTAGTAGAATAATGTTACATTTCCAGAAATTAGGCTTGGTTTAAATCAACCATTTCTTAAAACCAGTGCCAAGTTGACTGGCTGACTCCAAACAGAATGAGACCTCAAAGTCTTAAATTTTATTTAATGAGATTGTTATTCAATATCTGCTTGCTACATAGCCTGAAAGGTTGGTCCATAAGATATGTTCTAGGGCATCTAAAGACACTTTATTTGAATAATGAAACATTCAATTATGAAAAGGATTAAAAAAGAAATTCAGCCTAAATGCCTCTGGTCTAAAGAGGGGCATATTAAGTAAAATATTCTATTTTCTGTTTTCTTGCATTGGAGACCTTCTTTAGCTACAGGAAATGGAATTCTTTAGAAAACAGTTAATGTAAAAATCCTACCCTAAAATTTAATTTTTTAAGTATGCATCTAATATAAATGGTAGGAATACATTTTTCTTTCAATAGTAGAAATGTTTTTAGTTCAGAGCATCAGACACTTCATGATTTTTCTTTTAAAAGCATTTCTGTCTCTGTCTTTCATCCACACACATGTATACACCACCTCTGGAATTCACCCATCTATAATAATGTAATGAAAAATTAATGGTCTAGTAGAAAAAACACTAGCCTATAAATTAGGAGCTTAGTTTATTTCTCCGTTTCATCCACCAAGTCTGCATTTTCTCTATTTCCCCATCTTTAGGCTAAATCATTCCATAGAAGAAATGATTAGTCCAACTGGAGCCTTCCCGGAAACTCCATCAGTTGTTGTGTGTGATCTTGGATAATTCATCAAACAACTCTGGTCTCAGTTTCTTTACCCATAAAAATGCACCTACAGAGTTAAATAACTTCTGAAGTTGTCAACCTGTATATTTGAACTTGAATAACAGCAGAAATGGAAGGAAAGCTTTCTGGAGAAATAAGTCACAAACAACGAATTCACCTTTTGGTAATTCATGATCTAAGGGACACAATTCGGTATGATCATGGAGATAGATAGACAAAGTCTGTCCTGCTTGGAATTCTTGAAAATCTAGGTGATAGAAAGGCTAAACAGGTTGGAGTGAGGAAGGGGTTCACCCTTCAAAGTGAAGCACCACTTTCCAAGACAGAAGGAAAGCCTTTTTCCTCACTTTGCTTTCTCTCTCCCTCCCTGGGTACTCTCCTCAAACTTCCCAACTAGACAAACACTGCTTTGCCAAGAGAACCTGCTCTCCTGGGCCAGTCTGGTGCAAGTGTTCTTTGCTAATTTCCAGACATCCCCACACACCCTTTGTGTCCTGCCTTGCTCGTCTCATGCACTGACTATGGTGTTGCACTTCTCTGAGCTGGAGGATAACAACTCATTCTCCATTGCCATGTTGTTCGGGGAGCCTATCCTCCCTGACCACTCGGGCTACATAGTCTGGAAGATTGTTGATATAGTTCCAAGCCTTCTATCCCCTAACCTGCTGTTTTGTTCTATCTTCTAACCTGCTGCATCATTCCTGGACATAGAATTATATCTATGTTATCTCGACAACAGTGTTAATTTCGGCAGAGTTTTGATCCTGGGTTTCTCCTCAACACGTCAAGCAGAGCTAAAGAGCATAATAGATATATCATAAATGTTTGTTGAATTGGTAAAAAAAAAATGTATTATGGTAAACCCAGGCCTGTGATCTAATTTTCTAACCAATCTATCTCTTAAAGCTCTATCCCCCAGGAGAAATTCAACTAATGTGCATTCAACTAAGTAAAAGACTACATTTACCTTAACTTATGGCAAGGGGGTACTGTTGCCCCATTTAACAGATGAGGAAATTGAGACCCAAGGAACTAAAACCCATACCGTGGGTCACAGAATAATTAAAGAGTAGAGCTGAGAATAAACCCAGACTTTCTGACTCCAAGTGCATTTCCCTATTTCATTCACTGTTTCTGCATCTTCTCTGTTTCCCCATTTTTAAAGACACTGTGCACATTGTATCAAGCTACCATGGATGAAATAATTTGGTTCAACAGAAGCCTGCTGAACACTCAAATGCAGTTTTGAAAACAGGTCATTTCATAGCAGCAACAAGTATCACGTGCTTTCAACACTGATAGTATCACTGTGGGGAGTAGCGGTAGAGACACATGTTGTTTAACATCACAAGTTCCTTGTCTGACAAGAGAAGAGTGGATTAGCTCCCATAAAGTTGGGTGCTCAGCGGGTTCCCAGGAATCACTCTTGGACAGGAAAAAAAAAAAAAGATAAAGAAGGACCTACATAATAAGTGCCCCATGATTGCTATTTTGTCACCAGAGTCATGAAAATTATATACAAAATAAAGGATGACTGGAAAGAAGCCCAGTTTTCTCTGACATCCTGGGCTGAATGCCATCTAAGTGGTGACATACACAAGTATATTGAAATGTTGATATGCCTTATATTGGAGGAAGAGATATACAGGTGCCTAAAAGTCACACCCCAGAATCACTCAAAGATGATTTTTCCTGGCCACTCAAATCGGGAACACATGTGATAGATTTGTGCCTACACATTAGATTTGGTATACACTGTCTTCATATCCCTATCAGTATAGTGCTGGATTTTGTAGACCTATGGGTAGGTGTTCTGGTAAGAGTGTATGAGTCTAATGTTGGAAAGATAGAAAGGCTTGGAAAGATAAGCCTGTAGAGGTGAGGCAGTGCCACTGGTTCATTTCACAAAGGTTTTGAAGTGCAAATAGGTTGAATAAACTATGTTCTCATAGAAGCCACAAGTCAGCTTGGCCTCTCTTTATCCACTGTCACCTCCAAGCAGTGTTTAGACCACTTTGGTTGGGAGTCCGGGAACCCCAAGATGTGTAGGTGACAGGTGAACAGGAAGCTGTGGCTTTCACACAATTTTAATGCAAATTATAGACTAAGGATGCCATCCATTAGAACTCTGGAGTTCCAAGATTGCTAGAAAAGCTCTTGCCCTGTGCATAGGTCTGTATGGCCAGATAAGCTAGATGAGGGGCAAGGGTCCCGCTGGGAGGGCTTGGGGGGAATCACAGGCACCCACCACCACCCACATGAAAAGATGAGCTTTGTTCCCATGCAGGGGATGAACTGGCACTTCCACCAGTTCTGGGGCAAGCCTGTTCTCACTGTCTGCCATGCCAATCCCTGTGTGTATCTACAGAGCACACCCGGGTACAAGACCACAGCTTCCTCCCTATGTTCAGGCCTGTGCTTAGAGTTCTGAGCATCGTGAAGATATTGCTTCACTTCTCCTTAGGGTGTCCACATCAAGATCTTACTTGGAGCCATCTTACCACCCTTCCGGATGGGAGGGGACCCTTTTGGGTAAGTGGCAAGGACAGTTTTCTAGAGCAGAGTGCCTTATTATTAAGTCAGAGATTCAGAGACACTAGCATGCATACAACATCAATGTGGAGACAGGCATGAAGCCACCAGCCACCAAATCCCCCTTGCTACAGGAATCCTCTCACCCTCTCCTCACCCACACCCCTTAAAGGGAAGGAGCCAGGCTCACATAGGCTTCCTTTAATCTATTACAAATCAGTTATCTCATCTCCAGATTTTCAAGTTCCTTCGGTTGGCGCCTTTTACTTAAATCAGCATATTTCAGGAAAAAAAAACTTAGAAAATAAAAACCGCTACCCCACCCAAATGATAAAAATCTCTTGAATTCTCCAAGCCTATATCTTAGCCTCCTCTTAGTCCTGAGTACGAAGCTGATTCCTTTGGGTACTGGGGATTGGCAGGCTCTGCCAGTCCCCACCTCACCAGTCTAATAGTTTTTCCAGACAGATTCCTGGTTGGGTTAGAGGGACAGTCTCACAGTGGATTCCTGGCCCCATTCATTACTCTCTGTTTCCTAAGCCCAGTCACTTAGTGAGGAGACCCTTGTCTCTCACTTTCCCCTTCCAGAGGGAGCATGTAGTCAACCGTCCTGAAGCCTGATTTGAAACCCAGCTCCTCACCCGTCCCTCCGCTGCACTTTGCATCCCAGACCCAGGCGTCAGGTGTGGGGAGGATGGGGAGGATTTGGCAGGCCTGCTGGCCACCGGAAGGCCAGCGGCTCTGAACTGCAAGGGACCGTCTTTGAGCAGACCCTGGGGGTTCTTCTCCCCCTAGCTGGTGCAAACGCCCAGCGCGAAGCCCCCGGGACCAAGAGCAGAGCAGCCGCGCGCGGACCTAGGTTAGGGAAGCAGATTCCCCGCCTCAGAAGCAACCAAGTCGACTGGTTAGTTCTGGGGAATCGGCCGCTCCGGGGCGACGAGAACCCGGCAACAGAAGTACCGAGAGGAAGGGAAACCGCCCGCGCTGACATGTAAACAGGGGTTTCCATCTGGAGAAGCCCGCTCAGACAGACCCCTGACACACTCACTTGCACGCTTATCCGCCTGCAACCAATCCACTTGCCCGCCCCAGGGCCCACCAGGCTGGGACGCGAGCTGTTGGCGGCTGCAGCTCCCGCCTCCGCCGCCTCCGGCCTCGGGTGAGAGAAAGACGGTCACCGGCGTGTGCCCAGCATCAGGGCCGGGGCACCCTGCTTCCCTCTTGGGAGGGGTGGACCCGAAGGTCTCCGGCCACTGGCTTAGATCGGCGCCCTGGGTCCCCAGGTTTCACGCCGCCTCCGCCCGCAGCCCGGCGGTTAGCGAGGTGGGAGGGGGCCGGGCTCTGCTGTGGGGCTAGGAGAGAGGGGGCGATCGCCTAGGCTGGGAGTCTGCGTGTCGACCCCGCGAGTGGTAGTGGCGACGCGAGCGCGAGAGGATTCGGCGCAAAGTTGGGGCGCGGAAGGGAGAGTGGCCACGTCTTCCGGGACCCCGGCACCCCGCGCCCAGTCTGCCCGCCGCCTGGCCGCCCTGGCCAGCCCTGCCGCTCGGCACCCAATGCCGAGTCGCTTACCTTAATAGTCCCGTCCATTTGGCAAAGTCTGCAGCCGAGCCCCCCAATATTCCACACATTGACCCGGTTACAGCCTGACCTCGCAGCCTTTTCGGATTAGCCCGGCGCGGCCTCCTTGGCGCCTCGGGCCCTCCCTGCGTGCCCCCCGCGAGAGCCGTGCCCTCGCTCCCCTGTGCACGTTTGTTGTTGTAGCGGAGCGAAAAAGAGACAGTTAACCGGATGAAACTTTTTTTCAGCTAATTTTGGGAAGTGACTTCACTTTGCGAACGGGGAGGAAGTCCTATCTCTCTCTCTCTCTCTCTCTCTCTCTCTCTCTCTCTCTCTCTCTCTCTGTCTCGAGCTCTCCTTTCTCTTCTCTTCTCTCCCCTCTGCTCTCCCTCGTGTTCCCTCCCCCCCACACCCCCTCTTCCTCCCCTCCGCTGGTCCTGCTTTTTGCATCACACACTATATAAATATGTGGAGATGCCCAGATACATTCATGCGCCGCGCACAGGATACTTGCTCCTGGGAGATAAGGGCGAGCTGGGAACAATGCCGGGGCCCACGCCCGGCGCCCGCGCCCTGATTCCCGCAGTCTGCACCCCCGCCCCAACACCTTCCCCCAAAGTCCAAAACCAAGCTCCTTTGGCCTCCCTCCTTTTCCTGGGGCCGTTGGCCGAAGGTGGCCCTCCTGACTCATTCACTTTCCGTTTCTTCCCACAGATACGTTCATTAATGCTTTTTCCAGCCGGAGGCAAACTTTTTTTGGGAGAGGGGTGGGAGCGGGAGGGTTGACTCCGGCTGGGGATAACCTGGAGGCTACTGCCAGGGGAAGATCTGGGCGCAGACCGAAGCGAGCCCACCATTTAAATTGCATCCAATGAGAACTGTTTGACTACGGCCCTCGGTCGCCGCCGAGTCGCGGCAGAGTCCGGGAGCCGCTCCGCCGCACGACGACGCGGACGGGAGGCTAAGGGACCGACCTCCGCCGTCGGGGCGCGGACGCGGTTCGCAGAGCATTGTTAGCCGAGAGACGCCCGGCGGGCGGCGCGCCTGGGCCCTCTACTTCTGGAGAGCTCCCGGCGCCCGCGGAGGGCGGGAACCTGCGGCACCCTCGGCCACCTAACCGCGCCTTCTGCAGTCAAAACCCTCGCGCTTGCCGGGACCCGGACCCAATGGCCCAAGCCCGGACTCCGCTGCCAGAGCCGCCCTGGTCATGCCGCCCGTGCCCCCAAGAAACCTACACTACGGCTGGACTTTCCCTCCACGCTGGTGAAGGCGTCTGCGGGGCGCAGCACGCAACGTCGCTGCAAAGACTCTGGCTTCTCACAGAGTGAGACCTGGGGCCCGGGCTCGGGACCGTCTTCCCCACCCAGGGGTGAGGCCGGCCTCCCCTCGCCCACGGCGTCGGCCTTCGCGCGGAGACCTCCCCCGAGTCGCTGCGGAGCGGCCGCACGCCCCAGCCAGGGCAGCCTGGGGGTTCCTGTCTCCGCGAGGGGACCCCAGGGCGCTCTCCGCCTGACTCCCTTCACCCCGACTTCCAAAGCAGGTTACCTGGTCCGCGCTCTCCAGAACACGCTTTGGACTTTCTCACTTTTATTTAAGAGTCCACCCGGGGAAGGAGGAAAAAAATTCCAAAGGAGATCCGAGTCAATTGGAAAGAAAAAATTTCAAATGGGTGTCCACAGCGGCGAAAAAGGTGATATTAATTCTTTATTTCTTCAGGAGCAGTTGAGGCCAAGAGCTCACTCGCCTCCCTCCCTCCCTCCCCCCACCCCTTTTCGAAATTAGTCTCATCAATTCAGCTCCAATTTTGGGTTCGAACACAGACACGGGTCTGGACGTGACCAGACCTGGAGTGGCGGGTGCAGCCTGCCAGCAATTGAGACTCGGTGTGTGTATGGGGGGTGGAGTGGGGGAGGGGGTGGGGGCCGGGCCGACCCCCCCTCCCACCTCCTGTCTGCTTCTCAATCCAGGGGTCTGCTCTGGGGCTCCCCTGAGACCGCCACATCTGGTTACCGCTAGCGGGGTCAGTCCCCCCCTTTGCCTGGGGCCACCAGTTCTGGAGTTCAATTAAAAGAAATCAGGCTTAACCCTTTCCTCTCCTCAGCCAGCCAGCAGCCTGCCCTCTCACTCTTCCCTTCAGCGTTTCCACATGCTTTCCAGAAAGGAAAGAGGTTAAAGGGAAAGGAAGAATGAATTACATCCTTTCAAACCCCAAATTGTTTCCTTTTCAGCCCAGACTCTGCCGACCTTCAAACGACAACAGGGCTTTTGGGAGGGTGCGGGGAGACCGCTGCTTCCCACCAACCTGACTGGAGACCCGACAAGAAATGCAGGCACCTCCAGCTGGGTGGACTGTCCCTCTTTTACGCAGGAAGGACTCCAATACCACCTGGAGTCCCCCTTCCTACTTTGTGGAAAAAGGAGATGGAGGGGGTTAATGGCCACCCCAGAGCAGCCGCTGCACCCCTTTCTACAACACTGTTAGTGCTTCTGAAGACACCTCTGTGGCAGCATGGTTGGCTAGGGCTCTTCCCAACTCCTATTCATCCCACAAGAGACAGGTTGTCTTCACTGTGCTTATGGGTACAGTCACCCCAACATCCCAGGCACCCACAACTATTTTCAGGGGAGCTGTCTCCCATAGGGAATTAGATTAAAACGAGTTTTTACTCTCATTTGTGGAACCAATAGCACTTTCTACTTCTGCCTGTTACACCAAAGTCTTGCAATTTCCTAATTATGAAGGACTCTGACACAGGCATAATGACCATCTCATTGTGACTCAATGGCTGGCACTGGTAGCCAAACCTTTTTGCTATTTACCAACCCCACCATGATGAGGTCTTATCTATTCACAAGGTTCTGGACCCAGAAAGAACTGTTGCCCCCAATTCTGAACTGCTCTCTGAGGGAATTTGAGATTCCCTCCACTCCCTATTGACATGCTGGTGGGTAACTTTGCCCCACTTATGTAACCCTGGTTTCAAGCTCCACTCTACTACTGCTGCTTCTTTTTTAAGCCCCAAAGAGGGGGGGGGGAGAAGCCCTAACCAAACACAACAGTAAACAAGTCTGCCTTGTTTAATGTGGTTACCACCAGACATCTGGAAAGATGGTTTGATCCTGGCAGCTCACATTGTTTTCACGAGCAGCCAAAGAGAATATTTCGAATGTTTGCATTGAGACAAATTGATAGAGAGCCTGCGGTGAGGCCCGCTACAAATGAAAACTGTCTTGGAGTTGGTGGAGGGGGGAAGAGGACTCTCTCCTTTTCCTCCCCTTCTCTCTCCACCCATCCTCATCCCTCTCCCCTCCCACCCTTCCTCTCTCCCTTCTCGAAGTGGCCTGGCTAACGACTGGTTATCCCACCCACACACTTGCACACACCCTCCTTTCTGGCTCACCAGGAGCTGCCCTGCCTCTGTCTTTCCCAGCAGGGCAGGACTGGTGCCCAAGAACTGGGGCTGTCCCCTAGATGCCCATTCCACCAGCCCTGACTGACTTTCAAGTCCAGGAAGCTCGTGGATGAGGAAGGGGGACCAGCGTTTGAAATGACAGTTATCAACAGCAGAAGGACACCAGCGGACAGCCTAGCACACCTTTCTAAGTCTAAGGTCACTTACAGCAGGCACATGGTGGGGGTGGGGTGGGCAGTAGGGAACGAAATATTCAGGAAACATTTGGATTTGGACCATTTTCATTGGAACTTTAGTGGGATAACATGCCTCACACAGTCAACACTTGACAATATTTTCAAAGATGCGGAAGTTCTGCTTCCCTCTGGAGAAAAGCAGCAGCACAGCAGCAGCGAAACGTGTCTTGGCTCGCTCAATGTCAGCCCTTTTGACCCGGTCAAGACTTTCCAGACTTGACTTCCTGGGCTTCTTTGGTCCCAGACTGGGTTGGGAGTGAGAGGACACACAGCAGAATCCAGGTCCCTGTGATTCTCCAGGACCCAGGGCCACTCACTCTGTCACTTGAAACCCTGAAAGATGCCAGGCCTGGCAGAGTATCTTAGGCGGATCCTTCCCCCTCCATCTGCCCTCCTCGCCAGCCCCTCCTGGCCCCTATTGGAGCTGGCAAAGGGGGGGGGGGTGGCCAGGCAGGGGGGCGCGGGGGAGGGATGGGGGGAAGCAAGCGCCAAAACTCCAGACTGTACAACTGCAGCTTCAAGTGTCTGGCCCCTCGCTCGAGGCCATAATTAATTTGAGATTTATTTTTATTGGAGAACCCGAGTCTCGTCTGACCTTAGCCAAACAAGGCAGCTCAAGCCGCCCCTGGATGCGCTTGAATGCCGGGGAATATTTCTGCAGGAAGGCTCTGCAGGCGCGCCTGCTTTGAATTTGTTTCTCAGACTTCATCTACTCACAGATTGAAGGAAGATTTAGAGCCTCTGCTCACTCTGCCCGCTCCCCACGCTCCTTCTTGCCTTAGCGCCAAAAGGGTTCAAAACTCTACGTGGGAGGCCCTGGCGGCGGGTGGGCGGGGGTCCTCAGGCAGTGGAGGAGGAGGGTCTCTGTGCCCCCAGCCCCGAGGCTCTCTGGGGCTGGGTCCCCAGACCACTTGGCGTCAATGAGGAAACCCCAAGGGATTCCAAAGCAGACCAGAGAGGGCAGACTGACAAGGCTGGGGACCAGCTGAGCGCTTTCTGGCACCCTTACCCAGTGTCCCTGCCTACCTGGGGGATTTGGGGAAGGGGGTATTTCTGCCTAGACATTTCAACTCATCCTGCTTCCCAGAAGTCCCCACCCCTGCCCTCTCTCTCACACACACACATACACACAACATTCATGCAAAGTAGACCTGTGCTCCTGAAAGGACCATTTAAGAACTGTCTGCCATTTGTTGGCCCTGATGTCCCTTGAACATTCTGGAGCTACCAGTCTCCTGTTGTCTCCTAAGGGGGTGGATCCCCCAGAATGCTGACTGACAGAATGGGCTGGTTGGTGGGAGAGCCAGAACAATAGGCAAGTGGAGGACCCTGGCTGGTTGGTAGGGGTAGGAAAAGAGCTGGGGGGGAGGGGATGTGCTCTTCCTTGGGATTCAGGTTGAAGGTTCTCATTGGGAGACCAGGCTACTTGAGTTTGAATTCTAGCTTTTTGCTTACCAGCTGTGTGGCCTTGAAAAAATTCTTTAACCTTTCTGTCTCAGGGTCCCCACACATGCACTGGCTTTAAAATCTACCTCACAGGACCGTTGTAAGGACAAAGTGAATGTTTAGAGCGGACCTGTCGGCCAGCACGACTTTACCCTTG